GACTTTTGCTGTTTCTTTATACGTTTTTTTAACATTGCGAAGCCAGGTACCCATGCGTTTTTGTACATGTCCTACGCATTCTAATTTCTTCGGTATTATATTATCATATATAGAAGCTTTAACAATTGCTGAAAAAGTTTTTGAGTCGCCGTCTCCAATGTAGTATGCGTATACAGCATTATACAACTCAAGTGATCTTTGAAAGATTTCAACAATGGCATCGGATTCCATTTTTCATGCACTTCCAATGTGATTTGCTGAGCACTGTCCTTCGTGATTTACTAGCCATTTTTCATATTTCATAGTACCTTTCTCTTTTTCGTGAGTCTCGCATTCTTTGCAGTAGGAACTTTTTACAACAAGATCCATGACCTTTCCCGTGTACCATCCGATGATAGTTGCAACACCAAAAAGCGAAGAAAATCCTCGTTTCATCCACGTTCCGTCTCCAGATACTTTAAGGCCGTCTGGTACATTTGGATGTGCAGCGTCATTAGTTAATTGTATTTCATTTTCAGCAGCCTTTTTCAGGGATTCCATACCGACGGCTTTCGCAGCAGTATGTATATTTTGCATGATCGCGTCGAACGATTTCTGTGCGACATTCTTGGGCAAATCCATTATGCCGCAAAAAAGCTGCATTCCTCGCTAATCCCTTACTAAGAATACGCATTGCAAAAGCAAATCGTCTATTAATTTCGTATGCACTTCCTATGAGCGGTGATGAACATACACTATTAATGTCTTTGTTACATGTAATACACTTAATGTTCAACTTGAACCCGAGTCCGCGAACACTTGATTGCAAAAATTTAACTTCGCCCCCACATTGGTTACAAACTACACAATCCGAAACTGCTGAAAAAACAGCTGCGAATTGCAGAATGCAATACGAAAAGTTCGGATCAAATAAAATGTCCTTTTTTTCGTGCAATTTCTTCGCGGACGCGCTCGTGTAATTTGTCTCGCTTTCCATACTTTCATTACTCGGTGGTTGTTTTCTTTTCTTTGGCCGTATATGTCGCATTTCACGCGACCCTTTAAAATCGATCGACCGACGTATCATTTTTTTTCTGCGTTTAACTATACGTTTAAACTATACTATTAATGTTTTCAGCTAATGTGCACTACTCGAGCTGCGAACACTAAATGCTTTATATTTCGGTTAATCGCAAAAAAGTCGCAAACAGATCGCAAACAAGTTGCAACAGGCAGCTGTCTCGATGCGTATCGAGCTCGGTGCACACCAAGCGGTCGAGCGCGTGAGTCATGTCCACTCCCGCATTTTCGTTCTTAACTTTGTCAATTTTGTGAATATTTTAATGCGCTTTGAATCATTGATTTTTTAAACTATATACAATTTAATAAGCCAATAAAAAAAATCGATCTTTTTTACTCGACAAAGATATGTAACCTTTTAAGTCCAAAATCCTGTCACACGGATCGAGCACTTAATTCGGCGTTTAAATATCTTAACATAATATTAATTAACAAGTATTTTGATACCAATAATGATCGAGCACCTAATTATTTAATATAACTTTACTCTTGTGAGATGGTCCACACGTGACCGACGTTTAAGTCCGAAATCCTGCCAAACGGAACGAGCACCTAATTGGGCGTTTACATATATTGATATAATATATTTAAAAAAATATTTAAATATTAATAACTTTTGAGCATCTTATTTTTTAATGTTACTTTATATTTGTACGAGTCGCGCCCACCGCCGTACAAGAGTAAAGTCCTATTAAATAATTAGATGCTCGATAGTTACTGGTATCAAAATACTCGTTAATTAATATTATATCAAGATATCGAAACGCCGAATTAAGTGCTCGATCCGTTTGGCAGGATTTCGGACTTAAACGTCGGTCGCGTGTGGACCATCTCACAAAAGTAAAGTTATATGAAATAATTAGGTGCTCGATAATTATTGGTATCAAAATACTCGTTAATTAATATTATGTTAAGATATTCAAACGCCGAATTAAATGCTCGATCCGTTTGGCAGAATTTCGAACTTAAACGTCGGACGCGCCCACCGCCGTACAAGAGTAAAGTGGTATAAAAAAATTTTATTTTGGATATATCTTAACGGTTTCTGAGAGCACTTAATTAGCACTTAATTATTATGTATTTGTTTTTTTAATAATTATTTTATTTATGTCTTTTTGTATAGAGGGCTAGCTTAATGTTAAGCCAGCCCCCCCGCCCCCCAGTATACATCTAATTTTCTGCCAAACGGTTCGAGCACCTAATTTCGGACTTCGGCACCTAATTAGCACCTAATTTTAATCTAAATTAAAACTTATTTAGTGCTGGTGGGGGGGCTAACTTAATGGGGCATGTTAATGCATCTTTAAAAATTTGATATTTTCAAAATCTGTTTGCAGTATCTTTGAGCAATTAATTAACAATAATTCTAGTATTTATTCGACTCGCTATAAGTGTTTTTCGGAAGTGGGAATCCTAGCTTAATGGTTAGTCAGCGCTCCCATCTTTAATATCATTTTCCTGCTAATAGGTAGAAGCGATAAATTCACGCTTAGAGCAATAAAGTAGCAACAAAGCACTTAATTATGCACTATATCCGAACCCAATTTTTTGCGCTGTATCTCAATAATACAACTTATCGTTAATAATCAAATTTCTCTCAGCGCGTAGGTGAATGCATATTAATAGAAAAGTAGAACATTGAAACATCTTCATTGTTGACAGTCGTAATTTCACAGAAAAATATCCGTGAAATACTGCACGAATAAGATTATATTATTTGCGCATTATTGATGGTTTTACGTACAAGGCGCATAGCAATTTGATACACACGCACGCACGCACTCACACACATTTTGTGTGTTTATATACAACAAATATAAATGACTAATAAAGTTTTATTGCAAATCATTCGTTATTTTTTTTTGCTAGAGACATAAAAAATTGCGTTGTATATTACTCTTTTTAGAAATATCTAAATTGTCTAAAGTAAAGCTTATTGTATTTATCTACGTTCTGTTTCAAATAGATCAATTAAAGAAAATCAAGCTTACCCAGCTGGATAAGCAACCAGCTCGATGGTCATGTCGCAATCAAGGGCTGCATTGCTGGATACAGTCACGCCCAACACTCGTTCTAACTTAATCTGAAACAAATTAAAAAGACTCATTGCTATGATATAGTAAAATCTACAGTCTCAATAATTGTTAATAAAATTCCAAACAAATTAAATAATGATAAAATTATGTATGACTGTGTAGGTATAGAGGAGTAGAATTTTCCAAGGAAGTACAGTATTATAAAAATAATAAGAAATGCGTACATAGCTCATAAATATTTTATAATATTTATAAATATTACATAAATATTATATATATGTAATATTGGCACGATTACGATAATTACAGCCCCCTATTTGAAAGGTCGGCACGATTACGATAATTACGGCCCTCTATTTGAAAGGTCGTTTCTGAAAGCATTTTTGAAGAGAAACACGAGAAAAATAGTGAAAAAATTTTCCGACCAATAGTTTCCGAGATATATCACTTTAAAGTATTAGACATGATAATAAAACGTTACTACGTTATATAACCCAAACCTAATTTTTGTTTTGAATTAAACTTCAACTTTAAATATCTGAAAAATTATAAGAGACCGCCGATTAAGTTATAAGGACAAGTTACTCAGGATCATAATCTTGACAACATATGTCAACGTCAACATCGTTGGATCCGTTTTTATAAAGTTTTATTATCATGTCCAATACTTTAAAGTGATATATCTCGAAAACTATTGGTCGGAAATTTTTTTTACTATTTTTCCCGTGTTCCTCGTCAAAAATGTCTTCAGAAACGACCTTTCAAATAGGGGGCCGTAATTATCGTAATCACCCCGTAATATTACATACACATATATTATAGGTTGCCAACAAAATCATTCGCCATTATCGTAAGAATGATTAAAAAGGCTCGTATTATATTGCAGGCTACGCTTTGATCAGATTATTGTGAAAATAATTTTTCTCAAATAGCGCTCCAACGATGGAAATTTATGTAAAGTACAATTAGGCAGTTAAAAATTTATAAGTTCTAGCTGGAATTAACAGAAAAGCTCGGTCAAAGTTTTGAAACGATAAATTGGCAGTCTCATATCGCACGATATAATAATAATATAATATAATAATAATAATATAATATAATAATAATAATTAATCTGATTCGTAAATGTCATACTTTTGTCACTTTATTTATAGAAAGTAACAAGTCATAAAATATAACCAAATAAAACAACAAGTTTAAGAAATTAATAAAGCTTTAAAGTGGACATCATCACAAGTTTGAATTTTCGCGAGCTAATAAGAGCCAAATCCCAAGTGGATGGTAGTGCACGTCAGTTTCGTAGAAAATAATTGTTTTACGGAACTGATTACTTCGCCCCAAAATTTTTCTCGCCTTCGTCTCTTTTGGGAGGGGGGGAGGGTTAAAGAGGGGTTTATTATAAATCTCGAATTGAGATTCAAGTCGTACTTGATATAGAACCAAGAAATATTCGTACCCTGTGCACAGTAATCAATTTCATAGAAAAGTTATTTTCTACGAAACTGACGCGCACTACCATCCGTGATCGGCTCTTATTAACCCGCAAAAATTCAAACTTGTGATTTCCACTTTAGAGCCATATTAATTTCTTAAATTTGTTAGTTCAGCCGGCTGGAAGATGGCATCAATATTAATAGATTTTTATAGACAAATGAGAAGTATCGTGGGTATAGGGTCTGAATAACTCAGTGGTAAGAGCAGTCGTATAAATTTTATATAACGATAACGTTAATATAACCCCTCTAAAATCCCTCATTTTCCTCCCTACCCCTTCTTTAATATCGTTACCATTATTCTCTTGTTCCATTCCCTTACCCATTCCCCCTCCCTCCACACTCTATTGCAAAATTTCCAAATCCACACCTCTCTAATTCTTCTCCTTCATATTTCTACATTTCTGCTGGAATCCCATCCATACCTACTATTTTATTATCTCACAACTTATCTAGTGCTTTTTTAAATCTCCTCTCTTCCCAATAATTCCTCTCCATTTTCCCTCAATCCATTATATGTCCCCATAATTACCCTTTCCTCTATCCCTCGAAGCAGTTCCTTAAAATATTCCCATTTCCAAATAGTTCCATTCCCTCTCATCTCAATTCCCTCTTTCAATCTATTCCCACCCTTCCTTCTTTCCTTTCTAATAATTTCCCAAACCTGACCCTCTGTTCTAGAAGAATTTGTTCTTCTTTTGGATGAAAAAATGATAAAATAATCCGTTATTGAAGAAAGAAAGAAAAATGCATTTCTGCCATTTTCTGATTAGAATAATACGATGTCATCCTTACCGTACTGTGGAAAGGAGTATGTTAAAAAGTGGCCGACTTTTGCCCCCAAGCCAGCATGTAAAATTTGGTTTCTGGCATGATTTTTTAAAGTTTATTGGCCATAGAATGACGTGACATCTGTTTGTTGTCAAAGTATGAAGAAAATGGGTAAAAACCTCAAAGATGGGCTATTTATAACCTTCCATTTTTCATTGTTTTTTGTTTCTTATAGTTTTCTGGTTGTAGAATCACGTGATGATATTCATTTGTCATTAAAATGAGTAACAACTCTAAAAATTGCAATTAAACATGATATTTTCTAGGTGTGTCATTCGGTGACAGAAAGACATCGTCCACCATATTGGATTCATCATTTTGAATTTTGTAATCCTGTTCCCAGATTCGTATTCAGCGACCTTGACAAGACGTACCCCCATATCCATTTTTGTGATGAGTCATGCTGTATTTATAGAGAAAAATGGGGGTCATAAATGCCCCATCTTTGAGATTTTCATCCATTTCCCCACACTTTGACAGCAAACCATGCCACCATGTCATTATATGGCCAAAAAACTATAAGAAATCATGCAAATTTTACATGCCGGCTTGGGGGCAAAAGTCGGCCACTTTTTAACATATTCCTTTGTGATAACTCTCTGCAACTCTTCTCTAATCGCGAGGATATGTGACTAACAATCGCTTGGTTAAGTGTGATGATAATCTTGTGTTATAAAATATAAATCTAATAAATATAATCTAATCTATAATATATAAATGGGAGGAGGATGGATAATGTTTGTTTTCATGCCGAAAACACCAGAAACGAGCAAGTTAACCAAAATGAAGAATTGTTCATAACTCCATCAATATTAATATTTTTACCCATGTTTATTAGGACTTTTTTTCTCCATTTCGTGAGTACTATTTGCTTTTAAAGTTCTTAAACTTTTCTTTAACACCCTGTATATATACAGGGTAGGCCATTTTAATGTATCCACTGAAATATCTTAAAATATATAAGTTTAAGACAAAAATGTTTTAGACAAAAGTTGTATGATTCACAGGGGGACACATGATGAAAATATGGACTTGACCTTGAATGACCTTTTCAAGACCAAGTAAATGTGATCGATGTTTTCCTAAATGGAACCCCCCATTTTTTATTGCATATTCTTGTAATGTGCAACGGTTATGATCTTAATCGGTTTCTTAGTCTTTTTACCGAAGATTGCGAACATAACGATCGCTTAATCGTACACTTATTTCGTAAAATTTTTCTTCGCGAAAAAAGAAACAAGTGAAACATTTTACGCTATGCGTTGCCGTGTTTAATCATGTAATTCGAATTGTAAAACGGTATAGACGATGTACTCCTATGTAATATTTTAATTATATGTAATAAGAATATTGATTTATGTAAAATTAATATCAATAAATGTAGGATTTTTTTTTCTCAAATTGTTAAATTTTTTTCATCTCCTCTCTTTCCTTTTACAGTATAATGTTCGAAACGTTTGAACTTGTTAACGCCTGTTTTTTTATTATCCTTTCATTGGTTGAGGTAACGTAATTTCTTTCGGCGCGGTAAATGCGAAACGCTATAGAAACTAAGGAAATTAGTCAGCCATAAAATGAAAATAACTAAAAATAGGCAGTGCTAGAATAAGGAAACTTTTTTCCCCACTTTATTGTCCTTTTGGAAAACAGTGGGGGGAATTATGTATAAATTCTGATTTCCCATGAAAAATCCAACACTAGTTTTCCACCTCTTAAAATTTTTTGTGTACTAAGTTAAGTGAAGTCCGAGTGTCCGAAAATGTGTGTTGCTGATATTCTAAGAAAAATTACGATATTGTGTAGTGTCGCGATACCTCAATTTGAGGCTAAAAAATATCTCGAACAAATATCGGAGGAGGAAGACAATGAAAATAACTACCGTTTATTCAGAAAGACTGTCAACATGTGTACGAGCAACGCATTAGGAATATTATTTTGCTTAGGACATTTTGGCGGGGATGTCCGTCTACTAAGCATAGCAGGCGAAATTATAGCGAGGCGCCTAGGAAAAGACGTCGGATGATGACATCGACGGATTTACGGCCCATCTTCTAATGCACTACTATCGACAACAGGCGTTAGGTAAATATATTTTATTTATAATAATAATCATTGCAAAAATGTAGAGAATTTTAATTTAATTTTAATTTTAATAAAATTTTTATTTTTGTTAAGACTATCAAGAACTCTAGAACTATTGAAAATAAAGCCAGAACTCTTAATTATTTATGATCTTCCACTAAATGATATGCTAGCTTCACACACACCAATTAGTGTAAAGAAAAAAACAATTAATTGTTTTAAAAAATACATTGTAAATAATTACATACTTTTTCTTTAAAAAAATTATTTTTTTTTACTAATTGATTTGTCTCATTATTCTGTACATAAAAATATTACGGTAAGATTATCGAAAACTAAATATTTTACGAGATATTTTATTTTTTATATCAAAATATGTCAGAATAAAATATAAAATAACCCAAAAAGTATTAATGAAAAAATATGCATCTCGCTTTCTCGGGTACCGTGTCAAGCAACACGATAGCAATACGATGCCAAGTATAAAAAAGATTCAGACAGATTAATGTCAGAGGCATCGCGCCGCTAATAATAAGTAACTTATTCGGAATTCTTGCGTCAAATAAGGTTTCTATCAAGATATTTCTAGAACTAAAGCTATATATAATCAAAAATTTCAACGGCGCTTTTCTCATGTAATG